GATTGGCCTACGAGCAAAGTTAAAAACCTCTTTTCACTGGTTCAATACATTCATGTAATCTCTTAAATACAAGTAGATAGTCTACATATGGCCTGTAGGTAGCAAGACAAAATGTAGACTTTAGCATTCTTTTTTTAACTTCATCATAGCAGTCTCTTAACATATGATACTCTTCTTTGTGATTTGCCTCAATCATTTCTTTTGCTAGCTTACTCACCTTATATGCCTTGTTAATTGATGCTCAGGCTGTAAGGGGTGTCATAAATTATGACTTAATCATCGGACTAATTATAATAAATCAAGGACTCCCAAAAGGATTATCTTATAAGAGATTAACCTAAATAAATTGTTAATATGTATGTTCACAAACGATTCAATATAAAGGGGTCCCAAGTCTTTAAAATATTTTAAGAACTCATATCATTCAATTAGACACATGCGGAAGCACGATAAAGGAAACACATCAACATAGGAGAAGAGTTTCCTCCTTTATTTTCTCTCTATGCCTTACTCTACAATACATATATACATATTTACGACATAACATTTGACCACTCAAACCCTTCCATAATTGGCAGCGGGGGGCCAAGGTCTCAATTACTTTTATCACAATGACTATTACCTAATCATCATACTCTATATATCATCTATTCATCAATAGCCTATCATATACATGAATTTTCCTTTTCATTCACATATAATTAATATCAACTGCTCACCCTTGGACATAAAAAACACAAAGGGGAGACCATAACAACATTCAAGTTCTCAACTTAGGCAAATATTAACTATTTCCACTTGCACAAATATTTTGGCCCGTTAATATAGCACAAGCATCAAACCACATTTTCTAGGGCCCAAAATACATTTCCCCCAACACAAAACCCATAATGCAAGTGGATCAAGAATATATTATCCTAGTTGGCAATATCATAACTAAATACACATATCAAAATAAAAAGAGAAAGGCCTACAGAAGTGATCACTATCACTTGGCCTAATGCTCCTTTCCTCTGTTCTACTGAGATGAGCTAGCTCCTGTAATTTATTAAAAGAGAGGGGGTGAGTACAACCATTCAGTAACTAAGATACATGTAAGTTATACAAATGCATGATAATTAATTATGAATGCAAGTGGTCAATAAATTTATCAAGTTGACTATTCAAATAATCATATTAATAACATGTTAATCATATTAACATTTAACTCATGTGAATAATTTTAAGAATAAAGTTAAGTACAAAATTTGCACAAATAACCACATATACATTATTCGCATAATTACTACATGTTCTCATTTCTACAATTGTAATCATATTCTCAACATAGCCATTAATCGCTCAAATGGCGTAATAGTAATAATATGCATGATCAATCTCTTCCTTATATCCCCCTTTATTTCCTCTAACATGAAATTCGTGAGCCAACAATCGAAAGAGATCATCCATATGGTGAGACTACCTAAGGCCTTAATCATATCATAAGGGACTATCGGGCCAAGGTTACCTTACTCACTTATGAACACTGTTTCCCCCAAATCACACACTATGGGGTGTCATACCCAAAACTAGCTCTATTCAAAACTCCAGATAGGCCAATAAGGTCAAGTCTCCTAATAGGAACAATGCTACATTACCTTACAAGGTAAGCAGCAGCTATAACCCCTTGGATTATTGGTTAATAGCCAAGTACCATGTTGATTTTGCATAACTACTAACTCCTTCACCAAGGCAAACTCCTGCCATATGATAATGCTTATGAGAAAATGTATTTCAAAAACTCACATATATAATTCACAATTATCCTACATGCTCATCAACTTTTTTGCTCAACAAACATCAAGAATCATCATATTTCAATCATGCCTCTTGCATCAATTTTTATATTATCATATAAAACCACATTAACATCATACAACACTCAACATGCTCGTATACAATTCATCACTATGCATAATCCACAATTCATAATCAAAGATGTATACATTATCATCAACTATTAATCTCATTACTCACACCAAGTCACAATTAACTTGGTCATAAATCATAGAGTCTTAACCAAGCCACATACATTACAAACAATCATTTCAAAATTTAGATATATATATATATATATATATTCTTTTGTTTCACCAACATAATTAATTAAGTAACATACAAATGTATAAAATAAATTTTCTCCGGTTACCTCAACCTTTGAGAGGTCAAAGGTTATCCCTTAAGTTACAACACTTACAAAGCTTTCCAAAGCTTAAATGGTGTCAAAAGAAAATTAATGTATAATTGATCATATCCCAATATGTCAATAATATTATTAACACAATTTTCACTTATACTCTAACACCTAAGTATTTATTTTATTTTATTTTATTTTTTTAAGACCTTAGTCTTAGCTTCTTGAGTTCTAAAATTTAATTTCATGTATTTGAACCTATCTACTTGGTTCAATAGTCTCATTCACAATGATTTCATTCAAATAATTTTATAATATCAAAATTTCCCTTTTTATTCAAAAAATTCGCACATAAAAATACCCAAAAATTACAAACTTGATTTCAAGCCTAGAATCATTATTCTATAGCCATAATAATTTATTTCTCATCTTAAATAATCATCTAAATATTAATAAATTAATTTATATTTTCAGATTTAACCAAAAATCTACCCATAGGGATCTAGGGATAAACTCAAATGCCTCAAATTTCAATTATATCAAAAAAAAATACTCTAAAATATTTATTACACCACTAACAACCTCAACAACCAGATTTACTCATCAAAAATTTATTTCTCTTTCAAACCCTAAATTTTTTAAAATCTTAGAATCTGCAGTCTCAAGGAAAAAAACCACTAAGAAAATATTTAGAACACTTACCTAGTCTTAGAATACTTAAAATCTCATTTGAAATATTCTATTATAAAGCATCACCTTCTAAATTAGCTCCTACTGTTACTGCGTCGCTCTCTCTCTCTCTCTCTCTCTATGCGAAAACAGAAATGAAAAGGAAGAGGAAGAAATGAAAAGCCAAAAAGGCTTGTTGGCTTTTAAAAAATCATATGGGTCCTACGCTTATTCACGCCCCTCTCTCTTTCTTTTGTCCTTTTGTTTTCTTCAATGCACACACGGCTCCACCTCCACCTTTTCTCTTTTTTTTTGACATTATTTACACCTCAACATGCAAAGCAAAAATTATTTCTCTCCCCCCTTTTCAATTTTTAATTTATTTTATGTTCATTTTCCTTCTTCTTTCTTTTTTTTAATAATATTATCATTACTATTTCTATTTTTTATAAGATCATAACTTAGGATTTTAATCTAAATTAAATCTAATAATAATCTTCTAACTACAATTATTTATATTTAAATATTCTTCAAAAATTACTCATTTGCTCTAAATTAACTTAATTAACCTTAAGTTAATTTTTGAGATGTTACACAGGCCATGTAACCTTCACTTATAGTCAAAACCACGTCTACTGACTTCATATTTCTATTCATTTGCACATTAAGTACTGTATTTTTTGCAACCCACTTTGATGAAGCTAACTTTGAAGCAAATGTTATTCCACAATTATGATTTAGGTTATATGTTTTCAATTGATATGTTAAGGAGTCACCAACTTTGCTAGCAAAGACCAACAACCACGTTTCTTCTTAGATATAATCCGACATCTATGCCTTTCATTTCTAAAAAAATTGAATATCATATCCATGGATGAGGCAATACTCCCTCATGGCATCCTTAAATTGTGAAGTTGAGGTAGACTCCATTCTCGACTTAAATTCAAAATTTTTAAACATCTTAGCATGATTATACTTTAAGTTCCTTTTCAATATTTTATTTTCTTCCTCATTTCATACATGTTCTTCATACAATTCATTATTTTCTAAAACAAACATTATATCTCCAATGTTCTTTACACATTGCTAAGACATAGGAACAATCTTTGAACACTCAAAGTTAGTTTTCGGAGACATTAAAACAACTATTACTACCTTGTCCAACATTATCAACAACATCAACATCAATAAAACTTTGAAAATACTCATTCTTCAATTCTGCCTCACCACTATTTTCCAACATCATGTAAACTCTCATCCCAACTCCCTGTTTTAGATGCATTATATTGTTCCATGTTATAACTTAAATGCAACAAATATATAAACTTAGAAACATCATGAGGTAATAGAAAGAAGAAAATGCAGCAGAATAAACACATAAGAATAAAAACACCCATAAAGATGCATGAACACACATGTAGAAGAAGACATGCACAACCATGCAGGAGAGAGTAGAACAGAAACATAGAATGCTTTCAAACCTATATTTGAATTTGAGAATCGAATGGCAACAATGAGATTGATCAAAGTCATTGCTTAATGTAACAAATAAAGCATTGGAAGCCCTAAGTCATGGCATGATCTTCAATTCGTACTGCAAAGAAAATAGAGGATGTGCAACCTTCAAAAACACTCACGCATTTTCAACATTGGAAGTTTTTCTTTGAAGTTGACAACATTGGTGGATACTTTATAAGTCCCCCTACCAATTTTAAAATGTGTGGGGGTCAATGAGTTTAAAAAAAAAAAACTTTAGGTAATATTTGGTTGGAAGGGAGGGAATTTTTTTTTTTAAATTTCCCTTCTCCTTGTTTGTAAAGTAGAGGGTAAAATTTTTTTTTCACTACCCTCAAAAACCTCCCTCCTAAATTGAGGGAATTCACCGTTCCCCCTCCCTCAAACTAAATGAAATTTAAAAATGAGAGAAATTACAAGTGCTAGCAAAATGGTTCCCCTTAAAAAAATTGTCTCATGCTTAATTGAAAACAATCATATCAAATGTACCCTTTTTTTTTAATTATTTACATGCATCTTCCAACAAGGCACCGTCGGGTACTTAATTTTTCCCAAAATGAATGCATCTGAGAAACAAATGAACTCAAGGTTCTGCATGGTAAATGGGCTGTAAATATTGAGCTTTTTTATTTGTAGATGTCAACCACGGGCCGGGATAATGCGATCTCTGCCTCCTGCTTTATGTTGAATCGTTAGGATTAGGCATTTTACCTGTGCCCCTCTTTTGTTCTTGTCGCGTGGTCCCTCGCTCGCTCTAGCGAAAAGGCAACTGCGTTTATGCCCTATAGAGTCAATCGAAAGATCCGAAACCTGACCACTGCCACAGACCGAGGACGGGAGAGACCGAATTATACTGTTTGATCTGGTCAAGATGGTCACCAAAACAGAGGATACTCAGTTGAACAGGCTCGAAAACCAGGTCGATAATGAAGGCGGAGGAGCCTGGGAGTACCTGTGCCTCGTCAGGAAACTCAAGCTTCGGCGTTCTGAAAAAGTGTTGAAGCATGGCTTGTCCATATTGAACGACCCCAAAAAGCGATCTGGTCTAGGCCCAGATGGTCAGTGTATCTGGTTTTACCGCTTTTCCGATCCGGGTCTGTGTGATTTAGGGTCTCACAGACCTACTTTGTTATTGGTTTAATTGTCATTCTGAAGTGGGTTGATTATGTGTTGGGGTATCGTTTTTATATAATCACCTTGTATTTCTGATTTTCTCTGTTGAAATGTAGAAATTGAGTTTCTGGCCTTTGTTTTGCTATTAATTCCAGGAGAGGAAAACTAGTGTTTTGGAAGTTATTGCAAATAAAATGGGATATCTCCGAGGAGTCTTGCTAAAAGGACATTTCTATTCAATAATTTTTCTTAAACTAGTTATGTCTTGTGTGGAAAGAGTTGTATACTGCCTATTGGGTAATTGTTTTTTCAGTCGGTTATCAAAATAGTCAAAGGGAAAAATTGGGAATTTCCTACAGCATTAAGATTCGTGCCAAATTGGTTTCTATGGCTGGGATAATAATGATGAGTTACTTAAGAGCATTCAAGAATTTTATTGTTTTTTTAATGCTTCGGCAGTTTCACTATTTTGTCATCTCATGACTTTTTTGTGGAGAGAAACTGAATCATCTGATTCAGTGATATCACTCTCCCAATAGTTGCATGAGCATTATTGAGAAGTGAACCAACTTCACATATACTAGAGCTATCTCAAAACTCTTTTCATTGCATTGATCATGACAATTTGTAGAGCCACATATTGCATTTTCTGATGGTAGATTAATTTAATGATTCCTTCACTCATAACCCTCATTTTATCAGATGTAACTTTTGACAAATAAATAATTGCTCCTTGATGCAGAATGGACTTTGTATGAGCAGGTTGCAGTTGCAGCTATGGATTGCCAACATCTTGATGTTGCCAAGGTAGTGAAGGCTTTTTTGTTGTTTAAATTTGATTTGGTATTTTTGCAAGTCATAATATTTTCAATAAATTGTCAAATCCTGGCCTTTTATGTTTAGATGTATGTTTTGGTACAAATTTGCTCATTGTATAATGCTAGTTTAGGAATCTTATGCAAGGATGAATTCTAGAAATCTTGTTTCTTGTCTGATTCCAGTTGCGCCCTCTTTTCATTTCTATGCTGGAGTTCTGCTGGTGTGTGAGATGGTTCTTATGAATTCTACAAGGAATTACAATCTTGGTCGAGGCCTTTTATGTTAATGTATTGTGATTCTTCTATAAGTTTGCTTTTAAGTATACTGTTATAATTGTTGCAATGGTACAATTTCTGAACCTGCAAAGCGGATTGACGTTGAGTGTTTACTCTGTTCTCTTTTTTTTTTTGGTCTGGTTGCTCTGGATTACTAATTCTTCTGCATTGGTTTTCCATGCATATGATGAGGAACCATGTTTGAAATGTTATGCCTTTAAGTGTTGACAAAGAGTAACTCCTTTTTCAGGACTGTATAAAAGTTCTCCAGAAGAGATTCCCTGAGAGTAAACGGGTTGGTAAGTTGGAGTTATCTATGTTAATGATGCATCTTTCTGTGTCTGGCTTTGTATGAAAAAGAGAGACTTAAAATAAATAATGCTACCTGTACAATCCTTACATTCACTGCCACCAGGTATATGTGGCTAAGTAGATATCTTTTCCTGTTTGATGCACAGAATATATAGTACTTTGACACATTCTGGAAGACTGTATTTAGTTTTAAAACATTTAGATCCTACTAAATTGAGTAGAAAAGGATTGAAGAAATACAAAACGGTTGCATTGAGCCAAAGAAATATGTTAAAATAGATTGAAAGAATATAAAGAAATGGCACGAAGCCTGAGAGAAGCATTGTTCATAACTTATGAATAGTGCAATTTTTTGTTGATTTTATATTTTATACTGATGAGTAATTTAATGGGAAAACATTTATGCGAACCACCTGAACGCAGATGGATCCACTTATGTCAAAGCAAAAAAAATATGACCCTTAATTGGATGTTGCTTGAGGTCAAATGATACGTACTAATCATTCAGCAATTTACCTATACTTCCTGTAATTCTACCAGTGGGCAACCAGTAGGCTAAAACTCCATATTGCTGGAGCAACATCATAGTTTTATGATTTACTCCCTCTGTCCCAAATTATAAGACATTTTTAGACAAAATTTCACATACTAATAAACCTTATTAAATGTACCTAACAACTTTATCTTTCCAAAACAAAAATATAAACTTTCAAAAACACCCATCATTTAAAATATTGAAAAGAGAAGGGACGGAAATTAATTATAGAGAGAGAAAAGGTATTATCGGAATTGATACATTTAATGAAACATTAATTTACCCAAAGTGTTTTATATTTTGGGATAGAAAAACTCCTTAAAAGTGTCCTATAATTTGAAATAGATGGAGTATAATATATCCACATCACGTACAGTGCATTAGTTTGTGCTGTCTTAGATGGCTGCATGTGACTCAAACTTGTCCCACCTAAAATTCTGCACTGCAACAACTGACTCCTGCCACCTGTGCATGAAGTGAATTATGTAAACCTACACTGGGCATCTAGACTTTCTCTTTAATCTCTAGGAACATGTGCATGTTGTAACTGTATGACTTGCATTTCCTTCTTCAAATCATTTACTTAAAAAGGTTGAAAGTTGTCCATTTAAGTTTTCTAGTAATGTGCTGGTATATCTTACCTCTAAAATAGAATGACTTTTGGTGGCTTCTTACTTTCGGACAAAGTGCAGGCAGGCTGGAGGCAATGCTGCTTGAAGCAAAAGGATCATGGGATGAGGCGGAAAAGGCCTACACAAGCTTTTTAGAGGACAATCCTCTCGATCAAGTAACTAAAAAACATACAAAACAAAAGTGATCAGCCAGTTAGTTTCTGATTATTCTGTGTGTGATAATAAGACCTTTAAAAAGTGACATCATGTTATTGTTTTGATGTATGAATATTTTCACTTTTATCCTTAAACACGTTTAGGTAAAGAAAGCCTAAGCTTTTTTTTTTTTTTCCCTTTTGATCACAGATCATCCATAAAAGGAGGGTGGCTATGGCAAAGGCACAGGGCAACATTTCTGGGGCTATTGAATGGCTTAATAAATATCTAGAAATGTGAGAGAGATGCTTTTTTTAATACCAAAATTGAGTGTAAATGGGAGTTTTTTTCCCCCCCAATTTACATCCTAGAAAAGATGACCTGAATTCTTCTCTTATTTGAACAGATTCATGGCAGATCATGATGCATGGAGAGAACTTGCAGAATTATACGTCTCCCTGCAAATGTAGGATTTATTTTCTAGTTACTCAAAAAGGGGCCTTAAGCTTGAAGGAGTATTCCATGCGCCTTCAAGGATTTATGTTCTAATTTTTGCCTTATTGTTGTCAGGTATAAACAAGCAGCATTTTGCTATGAAGAATTGATCATATCCCAACCTACTGTTCCACTCTTCCACTTAGCCTATGCTGATGTGAGCAATTTTTTCACGAATAATCTTTATTTTATGTTGATTAAATTCTACTCCCTTTCTTTCTCCTTCTCTTTTTTTAAGAAAAGGGTATTGTGCATCCTGAAAACGAATGGGATCAACAGTCCAACTTGATTATTAAACTACAGCATAATCTTGACCTATGGTATTGGTAGGTACTTTATACGCTTGGTGGGTTGGAAAACCTCCAGACTGCCAAGAAATACTATGCATCTGCTGTAGACTTGACTGGAGGCAAGAATACCAGGGCACTTTTTGGTATTTGCTTGGTGAGCTCCAGTTCCCTTTCTTCTTTTTCTTTCCTTGAGCATCCCAATTTTTCTAGTTATGATGAAAGTCGCCATTCAATTTGTCATTGATAGAATTCAGGTTTTCTTTGATCACTAGTGAATTCCCACCAAGATATAAAGCTGTTTGGTTAACTACTGTCTCAAATGTATCTTAGACAGCAAGGCAATGACACTACATGATATTTTCAGATAATTATATTGGGTGAGGCAATTGAAAGTTGTCAAGAAAGGATAATTAGATATTTTATAGGAGTTAGCAATGCTAGAAGCTGGTTTGATGTGAGATTCTCCTGATTTTTTAAGCAGGAGATACTAATCAAAATAGTGTTATTCTATGCCGTCATATATCTTAGATGACCTTAAACATCTTGAATACCATATGATGCTGAACATAATCATTCTGGATGTTGTCTGACATCTAGGATCCTATGGCCAACATGTGATAGTTTACTGAAATCTAGGTAGGAACTTGGGATTTCTGATTTTCTCTTCGAAGCCTTTTTATTTCTATGGCTGAATCTTTTAGTGTGCTCTTGTTTTCCAGAGTACTTCTGCTATTGCTCAGCTTACAAAAGGGAAGAGCAAGGAAGAGAAGGATAAGTCACAAGTACAATCTCTAGCGGCGAAAGCGTTGGAGAAGGATTATAAGCAGAGAGCTCCTGACAAGCTTCCTCAGGTTACAACCGTCTTGAAGAGTCTAACGTTGTCTTCCTGATGCAAGCCTTTTTCTTGAAAGCTCTTGTGCTTTGGCCCACTTTTTGACATTGACAGTGATTATTAGCGGCCAGATCAACTCATATTTGCAAAGTACCTGTCATTAGGCTTGTCCATGTTAAAATGAAAAAAATTTCGGTTCTTAATGATACTTAAAATGTGGGGCTTCGTCGAAAGATGTTGGGTCCGATATGATTTACTTCTATATCTTTCAACTGTTTTGCGCCCATGTTTTTTTGTTGAGAATAATGTTTGGCAAAGAATACTGGCCCTTAAATTGTATGCGAGTCATGAATGAGAGGGTCCTAATGGGATGAATTATCTCGCTTAATGTTCACTTCAAGCCCACTCTTGTTCCTTTTGTGGCGGATTATTCGTTTATGATTATATCTCAATTCCCAAGCCCCAACATCCTTTATCCCCTCATCCTTTCATGCTGGAGATACATCCTTTCTTCTTGGTTACCTGGATAAATTTGAAAACGCCGCAGGGCAACTGTGTTTGGATTGAGAAGTAAATTCATGATTCAGGTTGATAAAAATTTATGGATTTGAATTTAATTTAAATTTCAAGTAAATTGTGTAATCACTGACTTAATTATTTCAAATGTTAACCCTAAATATTCTGTGTGTGTCTGACCAGAACGATTTCTCACCCTGTCCCTCTTGGCTTGTCACTCAGTCAAGCACATGCTAATGGATTAAACTCAATCTTGTTCAGTTGAAATTTTTAAAGTACTATAATTTGAAAATTTTATATCATCTAGGTAAAAGATTTTAAATTTTAAATTTAAATTTATCCATCCAAAAGCATTTCTAGAATCCTAAAAACATGAAGGGGCCTTTTATCATGGCACATGGTCATGTTTGCGCTTGTTTTAGGAATGAAGGGCAGTGCAGAGTTATGGGGTCATGTCATAATTGTAAGGTGTCAGAGTGGAGGACAGTGGCTAGCAACGTGTAGGAGCCTGGGCCTGGAAAAACAGCTGTAGATTGAATTAGATGACAAGGTTGGGGTTAAATTTGAGCCGGGGATGATTGGCAATGGACGGAAAGAATCTCGAGAGGCAGAGAGGACTGACAGTGGACGTCTACTAACAAGTGAATGCGATTTGTTTCATCCTTTTCATTGCTGCTGGAAGCGGGGAATTGTCGGAAACGCTAGGGACCCGAGGGGGCATTAATGCAAAATGGCATCGCATTTTTTAACGCTTTCAATCTTGACAAGATTGGCTTGGTATCATTCAGAAACACAGATCGAAGGTCATCATCGTATCCTTAAATGCCTTCCCTACCTCTCTTGCATTCCTCTCAGTTCCCCTACACTCTTTCTCACTGTTCATGTGCTCTTCCCTTCCCCAACAAACTGCATTTGCTCTCAGACGCAACTGGCACCATCAGAATGCCGTGACATCACGTTTCTGCTTTGCACAAGCATCTTCCTCGTTTCGTCGGGGATTGGTGACTTTTTCAGTGGATTCAAACTCTCGCCATCACAAAATCCCCTCAAGCTTACTAACTGATTGCCCAACTAAGATTAAGGACATGGACTGAACTTAACTTCAATGAAAATGTCAAGACATCAAAAGCATACTTGCCACGGGCCATGGATTTGAACTTGACTTCATAATGATCGGGGAAGTTAACAGGGAACACATGCAGTTTTAGACGACAGAAATCCTTGACAGGGAGTTCTCAGCAGCCACCCGTTTTTTGGCTGTTATAGCTCGTGCTTGAGACTCATGACGGTAGTGAAAAACTGAAAACATAGCAAATCGGGGTTATATTTTTAACATGCACGGCAGAACTAATTCGTGAAGCATGACTATATCTTCTCCCCACAATCTACAATTCTATCAATTGATTCTACCAACAAATCATAGTATGCAATGCATTATACATTAGAGGCAAGTGTCTGCGCTATTAGAGGAAATTGCTACATAAATATACTGCAAAAAGAACACCCCAGTATACTAAATGGAAATGCTTCGCAATTTCTAACGAGTCAACATAGTCAAGGATTCTTCCTCACAGGGTTTGCAACTGAAGTAGCAGCTGCATAGTCTTGAAAAATACTATTATCACTGGTAGTAAGCAGTAACTGTTTGCATAATTTGGATCACAGAATCATACAGCATACATGAAACTTTATCAGAGATCAGAAAATATCTTCTGATATAGGTTGTCTTGACTTGCATCAGAGGTGTTAACATGAGCTGACAGTATCTCATCAGGTGAGCCAGAAACTTTTCAATGCAAGTTTGTCGTAGCAGCCTCATATTATTGATAATATAAGTTCTCAATGAAAAAAAATGGAAATATCCGGCTGAGGCAGCAAATATAAACCAAAGGACTCCGCGCCGCATAACTGGTCTGATAATGATCATTAAATTAACACTTAAAGAAGAATTTACAGCCGATTGAAAAAAAAAAATGCTTCGGATCTGTTCAACTAAGCTCAGATAACTGATTCGGTTTAAACAAAGTATAATTCAAACACATTGCTAATAAATCGCAACTCACTGAATGGTTGTTAGTAATGAATGGATGATGGAATCCCGCATCTCTAGTCGTTCTTCCAGGCAAACAAAACGAGGGAGAAATCTACACTCTGCAATTTGGTCTCTGAAAATCTCTGAGAGAAAGACCATTGCAACAGATTTGCATCAGAAACGGGTTGGCCAGCGCACAATTTATCCGCAGAAAGGCATGTTCTGAACATAAACACAGCATTTCCGAGAGACGAACCGAATAGCCAACTGTGGACATCCCATAAAACTTCAACCGCAGCACCATCTACCAAAATAGTATGGTTTCCACGAAACTTCCATCTCAGTCGCTTGACCTGCAACACAGCTTTGCCGTCTATACGAATTATAAGACGCGGATCACTCACACTGATAGTGTCACATTCGATCACCAGATCGTGAACTTGACCGTTGTCACAGAATAACGCCTTGGTACCAAACACTTTCTTGCCAAAAATGTGTTCTCTTTTGGCTACACAAATTGCATTTGAAGGCAATGGTATGGCATTGGTCTTCTTGAAAGCTTCTTTCATCATATCACCGAGAAGGAGAACCATTTGTCGATCCACAACTACTCCTACATAAAATTTCTCCAGTGGTTCAGGACCCGTCGAAAATTTAGCCGACGAGAGGTCCCAGTATACATCAATTTTGCAGGCATAAGCTTCTAGACTCTTACAGCCTCTTCTCTTCGAGAATAGCCATGGTTTGATTTCAACCTTACAGAGGCATTGATTTGAAGAATCATCGATTCCAACGCTGAGGCCCTGCCCCATCAAATTCTTGCTCCATGTGATAGTAATCAGGCAAGACCGGCCCCGTATTCGGCATTGATAAACACAAGTAACCAGATTCTGGCCAGTTTTACCGGTGTTGGACGACGAAGAATCGGCAACTTGGACCCCGTTTTCACCAAAACAAGAAGGGAAATCCCTCATTTTTTAAAGAGGAACTTCAATTTACTTTCCAAGCTTTGGTTTCGGCGTTTTGTCAAACAGATGGTATACCTTCTGCAGCCAGAACAAAGAATAGACAAAAGTACTGAGGAATAGACAGAAGTTGCAGACAAGCGAGAATCAAAGTTAAGATGGACTCGTACCTTGATTGATCAGAGAATCAGTACGACACATCAGAGGCGGTTCACTATACGCCGAGAACAATGCTTAGATTAAAACCAGATGAGTGCGATAGATATACATTGCCGGAGAAGCCCAAGAGTAAAAATTCAGGGAAGAGCGAAGAGAGGCGCGTGAAAACTGAAGGGGAATTTGGAGAATTGAGGGAGAAAAATAGCACGGGGAGAAGCAGACAAAAAGCAGACTTGTTTCACTGTCAAGGCCCCTGCTAACGAATAAAAAATTCGAAAACAGAACAAAACAAGACACAGTGAGAGAACACCCAATGAAAGAGTTACTATTTTGTGAAGAAGTATTTCGGGGGGGGGGGGGGGGGAAGAAAATTGAGATGGAGAATGCGACAGGCAGAATAGAACAATGGAGATCAAAAGAAGGTTTTGTGGGGGACAATATGTAAGAAGAAGGGAAATATGAGCATTGGTGTTGCAAGTCAGAGACGTGAATATTACTTTACATTGACAAAAAGAAGGGGGAAGAGGGGGAAAGTATCTTCTCCTGTATCTCTCGTATTCTAGCTGTGTGGACTTCCTTTAACCTGACAAATCCAAATGAATAATACGACTCCAAGAGGGAGAAAAACTCACCCTTTTAATTATGGACTATAATGCTATAATTCTGGGCAAAATCAATATATTCTTTTTTTTTTTGGACATAAAATCAATATATTCTTAGCATGTTGTTTTGGGAGAGTGCGAATAAAATGAAATTTTGGGATTAGAAAGTAGAGGGGGGGGGGGTAAAGATGAGAAATTGAGAACGGTTGCTAGGAAATGGAACCCCACCAGCACCACTAGGGGGACTGAGGGCAAACACGATCTGAGACAGAGATTCATTCGTAGTTCGTGCCTAACAAACCTCGTCATTGTCATCAAACAAACCGTATTTTTTTGGGAGAATGACATGTTAATCTCTCGACTATATGCCATGATGATAGAGAGATCTTCAAATACTTCTTTAAAATTAAATCTGTGTAAAATTATTTTAGCATACTTTTATGATTTAAAAAGTTGTTTTTAAATTATTTTAATTATTGATGAAAATATTTATATCAAATTTATAAACTATATAAAATTAGTTAGGCTATATTAATAGAAAGTTATAATTTTTAAAATTATTTTAATTATTAGTGAAATCAAATTTGTAAATATTTAAATTAAACTTATGAACTATATAAAATTAGTTAGACTTTATTGATTGAAAAAAATTACCATAGAAAATTATAATTTATTAAATTATTTTAGTTATTAATAAAATTAAACTTGTAAATACTTATATTAAACTTATAAACCATAAAAAATTAATTATATAAGAGTGCTAATGTAATTTCATACATAAATTAATATCAAAGAAGTCCTTTAGAATCACTGTCATGGTTGCATTTTGTGGGATAAAATTATTATTATTTATTTGGGAGGGATTTATACGTCATTCTCCCTTTATTTTTGTTTTCTATTTGTGTTTTTTAAAAAAATCCTTGTTAGAGCCTGGACTGTAATGTAATATACAATGTACTTGTTCCCTCTCAGTAATCGCTTAGATTTGGTAGAGTCGCCTGTTCTTACGCCGCCTGCTGTACAATGAGCGCGTGAGAGAGACCTCAAAAGTCATTTTCTATATTCTATATGGGGCATGGGCCATTTGTTACGTGGATTTTATTCCCCAGACCTAGAGTTGTTTGAGATTCACAAAAAAATTAGCTGGCATCCTCGGTCTCAGGTATTTCCTTTCAAATTTGATATTCCATTGCTGCATCTCCTTTTTTCTTCCTTCCTTTACGTTGTCTTTATTTTTTTGGGTAAGATCTATTTTGAGGATTTTCTTGGGAGAATTGCAAGAAGGCCCTCAAGAGTAACAAATTCACATATGGGGCCCAATTGAATCTGATATTCCATTATAGGCCCAACGACCTTGTTTGCAAACATTGTAATGATCATATTTCCCATCGTTGGTTTTATTCCTTCTCTTCTTCCCCCATCCTCTTTCCAAAGCTTCCACTTTCGATAAAGATGTGACATACGTTTCTAGTGTAGGGGAACATGTAAATAATAGATCCCTTCACGACCATCAACATCTAAAACTCCAAGGTCTTCTTCGTGGCTTCCCTTAAGAGCATCATCAAGAAATCACTGATTTCTTTCACACCCCATTTCACTATTCATCCTAATTATGGAATTGGGATTCACCAAAAGCATCCTTGCTTAGAAACCAACCACGTGCAGCATCATGAACTATTAAGTATGATCAAGCAACATCACAATTATAGTAAAAAGTCAGTAGTGTAAGGCCTCCCTTATTAATTTTCAATTAATTCCAAAATTAAGGTAATAAAGGGCTAAACCATATGGTTACTAAGTTTGTAAACTTTACAATGATGGGACCCCAAGTTTTCAAATTTTCTAAATACTCTAATATACTTACATAAATGAAAAATCAAAGTAGAAACCATGTGCAAAAGCACAGGATACTAATGAATATCAAGCAATTGCATTTCAATTGGAAAACAGAAAAATAAAGGTGCACCACGGTTTGTAATACATGCATCACGACACGTGTGTCTTTGTGTCATGCACCGTGACTCATTATACATTATTGATAGCATTGTTGCTATCATATGATAGCAACTAAGGAAAACTTTTGATGAGTCTCATTTCTTCATTTGATGTTCAATTGAAGCGATTTAGGTATCTACGGAGAGCTTTCTTCTAGCTTTAGTTAATGGTATTAATTTCACAATTAAATAAGCTCTTAGTCAAAAATTGGACATCTATCTCTCATCTCACTCCTTTTTTCACTTCAAACACAACTTGGGTGCTCAAAATTCAATCTAAATGCTAGAAGACTAATTCACACCCTAGACTAAATTCAATGGACTATAATGGACCTGTGTAATACATTACATTACAAATTTAACACATCAAATACATTTTTTAATGCTCAATCCCTTAATCACAAAAATAGAAGGGAAGCCTCAAATTCACACTAATCATGATCATTCTATAACAATCACATTTTTCTTACTCCTCACTTACACTAGTATTTTAGCCTTATTTTAAATTTCACAATCAATATGGATACCCTTTAAAACGCATAATTTAATTCAACAGTCAAATAGTGCACGTAAACCATTAACATGTAGTTCTCTAATTGGCAATATCATGCAATATATACACATAATAATTAAAATGAAAGTGAGGCCTACATATAGGATAGTAATCCTATGCCTTAGGTTGTTTCCCTCATCCTTAACTCAATTAGCTAGCTCCTATAATATTTAAGAGAGAGAGAAGTGAGTACAATCACTCAGTAACTAATGTATTTCTAACTTATGCCAATGCATATCAATCAATTTAAACATAAGAGGCAATCCAAGAGGAAGCTAGCTTAAGAGTATAACGCTCCATGATTGTTAGTATTGGAGAAAATCATAGATCATAGGTGAGTGGGTTTACTCTAGCTCAGCAATTCCTCAAGAGTAGAAGGCTAAGTTAGTCCAAGTTGTGGACGTAGCCACTTAATAACCAACAATTTCATGTCTGAGGTATAAGGTTAGAATTGATCATGCATTTATAGTTTTGATCACATGGTTACTATTATTGTGGTTTGGTGTGTCTTTCATTAAGGACACATAGTTGTTATTATTGCGACCTTAAAATGTGCATTTTTTTAAATATATTTGATGATATGTGTTGCATGCTTGATCACATGATTGTTATTTTTGTGGCTAAAACTATATTTGAAATATATGCATGATGATTGTAAGATTATTATTATTTGCATCTATAATTAATTGATATGCAATTGTATAGGTTAAATTAACTTTGATTATTGAGTAGTTACACTCACCCCTCATTTTTCAATGTTACAGGGCCTAACTCATGCAATCATGATCGAGGAAAATGACTGGAGGCATAGAATTTTGAATAAATCCTACTTGTAGGCCTCCTAGTCTAAATTATGTGTATTTGAACATTATTAATTTGCCAACTAGAATCTCATATGATTCTTTTAACTACTTCCACTGTGGTGTTAATAGTTTGAATGTATTTCTCGCCTTGGATTGGTTTGTGATAGAGTTGTAAAGCTTGATAGGGTTAAAGTACTGGTTCAAGTAAGGTAATGTGTAATTGGTCGACATTGATGAAAATTATAATGATTTATGCGAAGTTAACTCCCACTTGTGTTTTTGTAATCAAGGAGTTGAGTATTGAAATTTCAATATACATGTTTTTGATTGATTTTGGTGTATGGCACGAGTCCATAATAGTCTATTAATTTGATCTAGGAGTTGGTAGAAGTTTTTGGCACTTGTGTCATAGTTTAGAAACCCTAATTGTGTGTTTATTGAAAAAGGAGTGAGATTTGTAATTGGTGCCCAACTTTTGATAGAAAAAATAATTTGATTATGAAATTAGTGCCATTTGTTAAAGTTAGGAGAAAACTCTTTGTAGACTCTTAGACTACCTCAATCGAACGTCGGATAGAGATTTAGGATGCATTGAAAGTTCATCTCAAGTACTATCATTTGACAACAAAATGCTGTTAAACTCGTGTAATGAGTAGTGATGTATGGCATAGAGGCGACAATCCGTGGCACACGTGCAGTTTTAATTGAAAATTGATGTTTTCTTATTTCTTTTGCAAATGCACCAATTTATTTTAGATTCCATGCTACCACATATGTCTTAAACTCTGATTTAATTACTTTACATTTAATTACAATATTAATCATTAATATCCTTTGTGAATAAATTTTAATAGGGGTTTTAGAAAATTTAACCAACATTATATAGTTAAATAAAATTGATAATCCACTCTTTTTTAAATTAAGTTAATGGCCAATTCTTAATTTACCTCCAAAATTTTATTAAAGAAATAGATTGTCAGTATTGATTGGCGGGTCAAGATGATGTCATGTTGCTGTGTGATCCGTATGAAACGTAAAAATATATAAGGAAAAATGATATTAGAAAAATCTTTGTAGAATATGTAAATCACAATAAAATCTTGTAAAATATGATAATTCTTGTTAAGTCTCTTGATACTTTTTTAATATTTATTTCATTTGTGAAATGGTTATAATACATCTATTTTAAAATAAAATAAGAAGAGGACAATTATTATTTTAATTTAAATGATAACTATTTTTATTAGCTAAAATGGGATAAGAGCTTCCCCTCTATAAAATTTTTAATTATTGAAGTCAAAGTCTTGTGAATATCATTGATTGCTTTTATTTAAATAATATTTTTATAGCAATAATTAAAATAAGATAACAAATG